TTAAATATCCTTGTGCGTCCAAACCTGCGTTTATTTTCCCAATTTTATAGGCAAAAGTGTATAATATTTTACTTATTCAATCTCTTACCTCATGGTAAACACTACGAGTTACTGACAATCGTGCTAGCACATATATAAAATATAGAGTATATTTTTATTTATTATAACTAGATACATATATCGACACACACATCAGCATAGTTTATGTCACAACTTTTAGGGGAAAATCAGCAGCATGAAGGGGAAGAGGTTCCGGTGACATGTTTACACTACATGTCCAGAACAACAATTGCACTTGGTGACTCATTGGAGACGCACAGATATGTATACTTTTTTAGTGCGTCGTAAATATATCTTTTGCTATACACTACTTGCCAGAAACGCATACGCACCTCAGAACACATACATTAGAGCCCAAGCATTATTAGACATCCATGTGTTATATATATATGTACACTTCTATGATCCTTGCTTACATTTTCTGGATGTATGTGCTGAGGATTCACCAGAGAAACACAGGTTGTTAATAACAGCACGAAATACACTGACTCATTCGTCGCAGCTGTGACTTCGTCAGGTGCCGTGTTGTTACGCAAATTTCATTCTTCGAGGCCTTGGGAGTTCGAGGCCTTGGGAGTTCGTGGCCTTTGGGAGTTCGTGGTCTTTGGGAGTTCGTGGCCTTTGGGAGTTCGTGGCCTTTGGGAGTTCGTGGCCTTTAGGAGTTCGTAGTATTTGGGAGTTCGTAGTCCTTAGAAGAGTCTTTGAGAGTTCAAGGTCTTTGGGAGTTCGAGGCCCTTGTAAGTTTGTGGTCTTTAGGAAGTTCGAGGCCCTTGGGAGTTCGTGGTCTTTGGGAGTTCGTGACCTTTGGGAGTTCGTAGTATTTGGGAGTTCGTAGTCCTTTGAAGAGTCTTTGAGAGTTCAAGGTCTTTGGGAGTTCGAGGCCCTTGTAAGTTTGTGGTCTTTAGGAAGTTCGAGACCCTTGGGAGTTCGAGAGTGCATTGCTCGGCAAATAGTGAAGGCCTTTAGTTGTCAACGACGCCTCGTCGTTACGTTCGCTTTTCTGTGGCACGTTGGGTTGCTGTGGGTGGTGGAGGAGTGTCATTGGCGGGGTCGTGGGTGTCGCAGGTGACACTACACTTACACCTTAGGATCCACTCCACCTGGTAGTGGACAATCTCGTAGTTGTCGCTCTTAATGTCGTCATACTCTGTGTCGTCCTCCACCGTCAGGTTCTCGTGTTCAAGTAGAGGCTCGTCGTTTAGGTCGTCTTCGTTGTCCTGGGGGTTGTCGCCGGTGTTTAGGTCGTCGTAGATGAAGTTAATGTCGTGAGAGACTCTGTGGGCGCGGCGTGAGCGCTGTGGGGAGGTGAGAACAGCCTCCTCTACCGGTTGACCTTCATCCATCATGTCGTACACGCTGGGAGAGGGCGTGGAGGGCTGGTGGGCGTGAGGGCGTGCACCGGTGAGGGCGGCGTGGGGGGCGGGGAGCAGGTTGGTGTTGGCGTGGAGGGGACACAGGAAGGCGATGGAGATGGTAGTTGAGGTGTGGACGGTACAACAGCGGTCAGGACAGTCGCCGCACGTCTTGGGTCTGTAGCGACGCTCGCTGACGCACCAACCTGCGCGTAGACGTACCGCCTTGACGTTCCTCTGCGTCGCCTTGCACGTGTGCCCGCGCTGCAAGTACACAGGATGGTCAGCCTACACTAGACAGTACACAGGATGGTCAGCCTACACTAGACAGTACACAGGATGGTCAGCCTACACTAGACAGTATACAGGATGGTCAGCCTACACTAGACAGTACACAGGATGGTCAGCCTACACTAGACAGTACACAGGATGGCCAGCCTACACTAGACAGTACACAGGATGGTCAGCCTATACTAGACAGTACACAGGATGGTCAGCCTACACTAGACAGTACACAGGATGGTCAGCCTACACTAGACAGTATACAGGATGGTCAGCCTACACTAGACAGCACACAGGATGGTCAGCCTACACTAGACAGCACACAGGATGGTCAGCCTACACTAGACAGCACACAGGATGGTCAGCCTATACTAGACTGTACACAGGATGGTCGGGCTACACTACACGGCAAGGCAATCTGGTCAACAATTAGTAATTACTCAAACGTTAATGGAAATCCGCAAACACAAAAAATTCCTTAGCACCATTATGCATAACAGACACAATTGTGAGGCCAGCATTGTGGTGCTGTAATAGAAAGCGCATTTTTAACGTTTCCGCACACGTGTTTCGACAAGGAAAAAATAATGAATTTCAGCGTATTAATTTAGTCATATAAAGGCTGCAAAATTTCAACTGTGAAACTAACATTGTTGCTAGCATTGGGGAATGCAATATGACAGAGAAGGTGAGATCAATGATTCTAGCACGAATACAATGACAATCGACTTGAGAATGGTCCAGGATGGACCGAAACGTCGTCGTCCCTTCAACTTCTAGTGTGTGGTCTGGTCAACATACTTCAGCCACGTTATTGTGACTTATCGCCTGCGAATCTCCTCTATAATCCGTATGGTATTCACTTCAGAAGGAAGTTGAAAAACGATTTCTCCAAAGTTCAGTTTACAGTTCTATTATTTCCTGTCGTTCAGAGATGCGTTTCGTCGACCCTTTTCAACATTTGTAAAGGCAGAGTAGGACTGAATGCAATTTGGCTGGAGGGACCGCTAATGCAAACGACATATTACCGGTCCCTCTTATTGAAATATTCTACAGAAACTTCTTTTACACAGCTCAAAAAACGAAAATGAAAGAGTCCTGAAAGACAGTGTTGATAAAAACGTGACTCCTTATCGACACAAGCAGAGGATATAGTTAATAATATACTTTAAGAGCAAGAAGACCCCCCCCCCCAACTTGCTCCTGTGAACTCCCTCGACACCAAGCGAAACGTCTTGGCAGAGACGTCATGATCTATGCCTTCACATGTCGGCTCTTGTCACGCTCTTATAATCTCAGTACATATCCGTCATTATCTCTTTCAAGGGGGGTCTGATAATACATAAACATCAAGACCCTCATTAAATAACACATATAGTCTCTACACATAATCACATCATCACCAAAGACATACTGACACTATGAAATAATCATTGATGCACAGGAATTTTGGGTAACCTGCAGTGGGCCTATTGGGACCCGCAACACCTCACCTCTCTCACGGTGGTATATTCGGTCCCTCCAGTCAAAATTGTATTCAGTCCTACCCTGTCTTTGAAAATGCTGACAAGGGTCAACGAAACGCATCTCTTAGCGACAGTCCATAATAAAACTATAAACTGAACTGTGGAGAGTTATATTTTCAACTACCTTTTACAGTGAAGAAATGAAAAATATAAAGAAGATATGTGCTAGAATAATTGATCACACCCTTTCAGTCACATTCAATAGTATATATATATATATATACTATCTTTGTGTTTAGTATATATATATATATATATATATATATATATATATATATATATATATATATATATATATATATATATATATATATATATATATATATATATATTAGTTGATTTTATACCCGCATTAGGTCAGGTGATAATACAATGAAGGTGAAAAACATGGGGGGATACATAAGGGATAAACATAGGGGCTGCAGAAGGCTTATTGGCCCATACGAGGCATCTCCTATCTAAACACAAAGATTAATCCAGTGTAATTGGCAAAATTACACTGGATTGCCAATTACACTGGATTAATCTTTGTGTTTAGATAGGAGATGCCTCGTATGGGCCAATAAGCCTTCTGCAGCCCCTATGTTTATCCCTTATGTATCCCCCCATGTTTTTCACCTTCATTGTAATATATATATATATATATATATATATATATATATATATATATATATATATATATATATATATATATATATATATATATATATATATATATATATATATATATATATATATGGTGAAGAATATGGTGGAAGACGCCACTAAGTGAGCAACGGGCGTGGCACTGATAGTGAGGGGAACTTACGGCCTCATAAACCCACAAGCACGACACCCTCACTGTAATAGAAGTGTCGAGGAGAATGACTCCCTGTGAGGTCTCTGAGGGAAATAGGCGACAGATGCGCAAGATGAGAGCGGTATTTCGTAGGTGAAGGATGAGGTGACGTTCTCTCCAGAACTAGTACCGGAGAAGGTATAGCATGCTGGGTTTGAGAGGTGGGATGCTGGGATTGAGGTAGGATGCTGGGATTGAGAGGTAGGATGTTGGGATTGAGAGGTAGGATGCTGGGATTGAGAGGTAGGATGCTTGGATTGAGGTAGGATACTGGGATTGAGAGGTAGGATGCTGGGATTGAGAGGTAGGATGCTGGGATTGAGAGGTAGGATGCTGGGATTGAGAGGTAGGATGCTGGGATTGAAAGGTGGGATGCTGGGATTGAAAGGTGGGATGCTGGGACTGAAAAGAAACGTACAGGATGCCACCGACAGACATTCAGACATAGAGTAAGTAACACTGATAGACGGTTCAATTATATTAAATATGTCGGGAGTTAGAACCACTGAAAAGCATACATGACGACTAGGCAATAATGGTGAGAGAATATAACAACCTTGAGGTAGAGGAAAGCAAGATAACCCATATATAAGACAAAAAATAATATTCTCAGGCCTTTAAAATAAGGCTTTTCACTAATAAAGAACCACTTATGATATCAAGAATAAAAGGCAGCGATAAACAACTTGAGACCCCAGATAGCGAGAAGCAACAAAAAGAAACAGATAAGGCAACGTAGATAGATAAGAAGCACATGTGAATGGTGGAGGCATGAGAGAGAAAACAGAAGGGGACATAGCAGAAGGGGATAAAAAAAAAGGCAAACACGAGGTGAATCAAATCAGTAATACCGGAAGTAGACGTCTGATAGCAACAAAAGTGAACAAACACTACACTACTTTTATACTCTTATAGCAAAGGATATCTTAAATGGGCGTTCATTAAAATAGCAACTCGGTAACAAGAAAAAAAGACGTAAATAGGCACATTTACGTCTCAAAAAGTTGCCTATTTACGTCTTAAAAAGAGTCATAAATAGGCAACTAAGAGCATTATTAATTTATTTTATTCCATAGACTTGCAACAAGATATTTAAAACGTGAATTACTCATAAAGTGGTTATTTACGTATAATTGAGTGTTTCTGCATCACTTACCCTTATGTGGTGCTTCCTGGAGGCGCGCACATAGCCGGGCTGGTGTTGGGGCGTCGTCAGCTGCTGACGGCGGAGGTCCTGACACGGCCGCAGTTGACACAGACGAGTCTGGTTGATCAGTTGACAGCGGGCGTTGTCAGTCGACCAGCGGACCGAGACGCCGGCGCCGCAGCTCTCTAGTGAACACCGGGACCACTTGCCGGACCCTCGTTCGCACTCTGGGGGACCCACAGCCTTACCTGGGGGGAGACACTCGGTCACTCACTGATCGGTACTCATCCTGGGGGACCCACAGCCTTACCTGGGGGAGGGGGGAGACACTCGGTCACTCACTGATCGGTACTCATCCTGGGGGATCCTCATGCAAGTCTACGTTCAATCCTCGACCCTCCAAGTGGTTGGGCATCTCCTTCCTCCCGTCTCATCCTAAACCCTTATCCTGACCCTTTCCAAGTGCTATATAGTTGTAATTAGCGCTTTATCCTGATACTTCCCTTCCTTTCTGCAAAGATTTACGTATGTTGATTTTTGAAGCGTTATCCGAGTATACTGATATACTGTGAGCAGCAGTATACCATATCCCAATAGTTTACCAACTATATTACGGGATGATATTATCGGTTAAACTCAACAATACACTCTTAATTACTCGAAAAAATACATGAACGCATTGATATTTATTTTGATCTATGTGGTGTATAAATCCCATTCATTATTCATACTAGTGTATTGGTGATTATAGGGTCCGTATATCAGCGAGGGAGTTAATGACTGAATCACTGTGTGACTGATGTTGTTTATATAACCCAGGTGGGAGCCGGTGCAAAGTGTTTTATGTTCACACGTTCACACACTCTTGGTGTTACATGGTGAAGTACAGATGTCGTTAACAGGGAGCATGTACCTTGTGAAGCACAGATGTTATTGATGGGGGAGCATGTACCTTGTGAAGCACAGATGTCATTGATGGGGGAGCATGTACCTTGTGAAGTACAGATGTCATTGATGGGGGAGCATGTACCTTGTGAAGCACAGATGTCATTGATGGGGGAGCATGTACCTTGTGAAGCACAGATGTCATTGATGGGGGAGCATGTACCTTGTGAAGCACAGATGTTATTGATGGGGGAGCATGTACCTTGTGAAGCACAGATGTCGTTAACAGGGAGCATGTACCTTGTGAAGCACAGATGTCATTGATGGGGGAGCATGTACCTTGTGAAGCACAGATGTCATTGATGGGGGAGCATGTACCTTGTGAAGCACGGATGTTATTGATGGGGGAGCATGTACCTTGTGAAGCACAGATGTCATTGATGGGGGAGCATGTACCTTGTGAAGCACAGATGTCATTGATGGGGGAGCATGTACCTTGTGAAGCACAGATGTCATTGATGGGGGAGCATGTACCTTGTGAAGCACAGATGTTATTGATGGGGGAGCATGTACCTTGTGAAGCACAGATGTCATTGATGGGGGAGCATGTACCTTGTGAAGCACAGATGTCACTGTTGGGGAGCATGTACCTTGTGAAGCACAGATGTTATTGTTGGGGAGCATGTACCTTGTGAAGCACAGATGTCATTGATGGGGAACATGTATCTTGTGAAGCACAGATGTTATTGATGGGGGAGCATGTACCTTGTGAAGCACAGATGTTATTGATGGGGGAGCATGTACCTTGTGAAGCACAGATGTCATTGATGGGGGAGCATGTACCTTGTGAAGCACAGATGTCATTGATGGGGGAGCATGTACCTTGTGAAGCACAGATGTCATTGATGGGGGAGCATGTACCTTGTGAAGCACAGATGTCATTGATGGGGGAGCATGTACCTTGTGAAGCACAGATGTCACTGTTGGGGAGCATGTACCTTGTGAAGCACAGATGTCATTGATGGGGGAGCATGTACCTTGTGAAGCACAGATGTCACTGTTGGGGAGCATGTACCTTGTGAAGCACACATTAACACCTGTCTTGATATAACACTTCATTATAATAATGGAGGAAAATTGCTCTAATTATACATTGTTATATTTATATTTTAATTGAGCATCGTGATTTTATATTACCTAGTAAATGACTGGTCATGTCAACGGAACCTCGCCACTACTCATCTGTCCACCGACAGTCATGTCAATGGAGTACATCCCCCTTATCTGTACACCCCTAGTCATGTCATCCAAGCTCACCCATCCCTCTTCTGTCCAGTGCCAGTCATGTCTGTTGAACCCCCCTTAACCTGTCCACCACCGTTCATGTCAGTGGACCCGCCCCCACCGCTCACCTGTCCACCACCAGTCATGTCAGTGGACCCGTCCCCCCACCAGGCACCTGTCCACCACCAGTCATGTCAATGGACCGCCACCCCACCTGTCCACCACCAGTCATGTCAATGGACCGCCACCCCACCTGTCCACCACCAGTCATGTCAATGGACCGCCACCCCACCAGGCACCTGTCCACCACCAGTCATGTCAGTGGAGCCATAAATGCCACCTTGGTGAATAAAGCGTGCCACCAGTCCTCGAAAAATGTAACAAACGATACGGTGATATTTTATTGGTCTGTTGATATCGCCAGCCATAAATTTCCCGCCCACTGGCAGGTGTGTAAGTTATTGGTGTGGGAAGCTAGTAGTGTTGGTGTTGGGTTCACTACCTCCACCACCATCTACAAGGCCATCACCACCTACACCGCCACTATGACGTCGTCGACGACAACCACCACCTCAACAACCACCACCACAACCACCAAACGAGATGTAAGATAGTGAAGGTGGGAGAGATAGAAGGGACACCAGGAGGTATCCACAACATAAAGGGAAAGGTAACTACAGGAATGAGACATAAAAAAATTTGAAAGTTGAAAAAATTCCAACACTGATACCAGAGGTACACTTAAACAGGCTAACATAGGCGGCATATAAGACGCTGGTAAACATTAGAACATTATATAGAAACCTATATTATGACTATTTCAAGGCAATCAATGCACCCAATGTTAGACTGGTACTGGAATACGCAGGACCGGCCTAGAATTCGAATCGTGTGAAACTCAAAATCAAAAGAACTAAAAAGGTTAAGTTACGAGCACATGTTAAAGGAACCAAATCTCACAATCCGAGATTAGAGAAGAATCAGAGGAGATATGATCACAACATGCAAGATACCCACGGTAATAGACAAGATGAACAAATGGAACGCACTGAAGGAAGAAGTTGTGGAAACCACCTGCATCCTCAGAGAATTCGAACGTCAGAACAGTTAGGACGCAACAGTTAAATCAAAGCTAGTAGGCGGCGGAACATGAAGAGCTAGACCTCACTTCCTCGTAGTCACTAATACTTCACCATTAATAGGTAAGCACTAATCACCTGCCGATGCTCAGGTGTTACTGCTTTAGAACACCGAATCAGGCTTTCAGGCGTTCATTATTTTTACACATCTACTAGCGTACCTTGCAGAAGGTGGTCCCCACTTATCACGAAAAATCATTACATCTCGCAGTCAGAAACACTCACATAAACTTGAATGCCAGTGAACATCTCGCCTTCAAAGAGTCGTCATAACTTTGGCCAATAAATTTGCGCCATTCTCGTCATGAAATCGTGTCGTGACACACTAGACGATTTCTTCGTATTTTTTTGGATTGAGATTTCTTCGAAACTCCAGGTAAGACAGAAGCCTTTCCGCACTCAGGTCATTAAGGTGAGGACGGGGACTGGCTATATGAGTCTTCTTAAGAGACTATAAGATCCCTAAGATGGTTCTTAACAGCTATAAGAAGACTGTATATGAGTCTTCTTATATCTTCCCCACCAGTCCCTATATGGGGGCCGGTAAGAGTGTCCCCTGTGCCTTCATTCGGCTCTGTGTCTTTCCCTCTGGTGTCCACCTAGCAGCGTGTCCCCCAGCATGTCTGCCCCCAATCTGTCCTCTTAAAAAGAACGTCGCTTTTGGCCGTTTGCCTGTATGGCCGAAAGTGAACGTAATTTGAAAATGAAAATAAATTTGGGATTATTTTTTTCAACAACAGTAAGTTAAGGGTCCTCTGGTAGGTTAGGTGGGCAGGAAATTCTCATAAAGTTTCAAAACGTTATGAAAAACGTTAATTTAAAGTTTCCTCTCCTAACGTTTCCGAGTAAGCCGGACGATTCAAACAGAAAACGGGACAGTACGTCACTTTTGTGAGTCGATTTCATTTCAAATTACGTCCACTTTTGGCCATAGCGCGCATACGAGCGAAAAGCGACGTTATTTTTAAGAGGACGGGTTGCTGCCCCAGTCATTATCCCTCCTCTCCGCCCTCTATAACTCTCGTCTAACAATGTGCAGCTTCTGTGATTACCCCCTTCCCTTATAATACTCACCTAGCAGTGTGCGACCACCCAGCTTCCACCCACCTTATAATACTCACCTAGCAGTGTGCCCCCACCCAGCTTCCACCCACCTTATAATACTCACCTAGCAGTGTGCCCCCACCCAGCTACCCCCCCCACCCCACTAACTATCCCCACCCCACTCCACCAGAAGTGAGTCATCAGTATTCGCCAGGCGATGCCAGTTCATGTCTGCCTCAGAGGCACCAAACTTTTCACAGGAGTTCCTCACAAAAGTGCCACTCCAGAAGTGGTTTGTGGCCCAACTTTGCGTCGATAAAGTCTTAAATATAAGAATTACTCCGAGTCACGGCTGCCGCGGAGGCGGTAAGGGCTGCTCGCGACCTTGTTATATCTGCTGCAACTCTAATTCTAATTTGGTATCTCTTAAAAAAAACTGTATCCGCTGTATTACTTTCTTCCCCCGCTGTGTCCCAAGATCATTATAACTTCAGCAGTTATTGCTTTTATCACTTTTCCGCGGTTCCCTTCACCGTTCCTGGTTCACGATTGTATTCAATTAAAAATCGGTTTCCCAATCTGGATTACATTTCTAGTCCAGGATCGCAGCTGTGTCCGTAGATATACTATTTTGAGTCACATACTCACCGGGCCTTGTCTAACAACCTGAACTAGGCGATACGTCGGCGTCCTCGTCTCTTACAGGCTCGTGTTCAATTCCCGGCCTTCTAACTGGATGGGCACCATTCCTTACCTCCGTTCTGGAATGTTAGTTGCCAGGTATGGTAGTAGTTACCTAGTAGCATGATGACCAGGTGTGCTAGAAGTTAATACTTAAGCTAATACTTATCTGTCATGCTTGTAGCATGCAAGTAGTTACTATGAACGGTGACCAATTTCACTAATAGTTACCATTTTGACCAATCCACACACTAGAAAATGAAGGGACGACGACGTTTCGGTCCGTCCTGGACCATTCTCAAGTCGATTGTGAGAACGACTTGAAAATGACACAATCGACTTGAAAATGGTCCAGGACGGACCGAAACGTCGTCGTCCCTTCACCTTCTAGTGTGTGGTCTGGTCAACATACTTCAGCCACGTTATTGTGACTCCTCGCCTGCATATAGTTACCATTTCATATGTGTACTGACCTGGGTCGGTGTCACACATCCACTCCCTGCAACACTGGCCTGGCACTGTGACCAGGTGTGGGTTATGGCACTGGGCGCTGGGCGGGATGCTTTCACTGGGACACAGCGACACGCACGCGTACGTCCCGTTCTGGCGGACACAGACACGGAAGGGGTCACGAAGTGGACAAGCATAAGGAAATGCTGCGTTCGAAATTATACATGTTTTAGATCACGGGGGGTAATATGATTTGGCCACATTGCAGTATTTGAAATCATAGAGAAATTGATTTTAGGTATAGGGTGATATTTTAAGGTAAAGAATAATATTTTATGGTTAAGGAAACAATTTTAAGGCAAAAGGATAATATAGTAAGGTAAAAAAAAATATTTTAAGATAAAGGATAAAATTTTAAGAAAATTATAATGTTTTAAGGTAAAGTGCAATATTTTAAGGCAAAAGAAAAATTCGCATGAAAAATGATAACATTTTAAGATAAAGGATAATATTTTAAGGAAAAGGATAATGTACATTTGTAACCCATCAATATACTACAATACAGGATAATATTTTAAATATTAAATTTAATAGATTACTCTGTATGCTAAAATTATTTCCCATAAATGTGCATAATACGATATCATGAGTTAGTCAGAATTTCTAAATATTTAACATTGGCCAGAAAGACAATAATAATGGTCTTGAAATTAATGGAGTAAGATCAGAGCTCAAAACGTGCGGACGGCAAAGGACAAAAAGGGATTTCGGCGCAATATATAAAGGTTTAGAAAAAGGGGCGTGGAATCCAGGCCAGTGGGAGGGAAATTTATTGGCTCTGTGAACAGCAAAGTGAACGACGACGCAGAATATAGTGTTGGGAAGCAGTGTATATTGAACTGTGGGGAGGAGAGTACTATATATATATATATATATATATATATATATATATATATATATATATATATATATATATATATATATACATATATATTTACTTTATTTGAACTTTGTTACAAAAAAGGAGTTACATATGGGTTACAAAGATCTTTAATATATATATATATATATATATATATATATATATATATATATATATATATATATATATATATATATATATATATATATATATATATATATATACATATATATATATATATACACACAAATACTCAGAGAGAGAGAGAGAGGGAAAAGAGGGGAGAAGAAAGGGAGATGGGAGTAAAGGGAGAGAGAAAAGTGAGAAGAAAATTGAAAAACTCTCTAAATTAAATTTTACATTTGTAATGTATTTGAAGCTTTTCGCTATAATACTCCTTACAACCTTCGGAGGCAGAAGGAAAACTATTACAAGGTGATTACGGATGATAGATGTAGTTGGTATCAGAGAAAGACAGTAACCCATGTGACAAGCACAATGGCTGCGAGAATCTGCAATTAGGATTCACAAAGTGATGGACTCTGACTTTCTGCGACAGACAGAAATAGAGACTCACCTAACAGGTACACTGGGTGTATGAGAGAGGGACTCACCTGACAGGTACACTGGGTGTGTGAGAGAGGGACTCACCTGACAGGTACACTGGGTGTGTGAGAGAGGGACTCACCTGACAGGTACACTGGGTGTGTGAGAGAGGGACTCACCTGACAGGTACACTGGGTGTGAGAGAGAGGGACTCACCTGACAGGTACACTGGGTGTGAGAGAGAGGGACTCACCTGACAGGTACACTGGGTGTGTGAGAGAGGGACTCACCTGACAGGTACACTGGGTGTGTGAGAGATTGACTCACCTGACAGGTACACTGGGTGTGTGAGAGAGGGACTCACCTGACAGGTACACTGGGTGTGTGAGAGAGGGACTCACCTGACAGGTACACTGGGTGTGTGAGAGAGGGACTCACCTGACAGGTACACTGGGTGTGTGAGAGAGGGACTCACCTGACAGGTACACTGGGTGTGTGAGAGAGGGACTCACCTGACAGGTACACTGGGTGTGTGAGAGAGGGACTCACCTGACAGGTACACTGGGTGTGTGAGAGAGGGACTCACCTGACAGGTACACTGGGTGTGTGAGAGAGGGACTCACCTGACAGGTACACTGGGTGTGTGAGAGAGGGACTCACCTGACAGGTACACTGGGTGTGTGAGAGAGGGACTCACCTGACAGGTACACTGGGTGTGTGAGAGAGGGACTCACCTGACAGGTACACTGGGTGTGAGAGAGAGGGACTCACCTGACAGGTACACTGGGTGTGAGAGAGAGGGACTCACCTGACAGGTACACTGGGTGTGTGAGAGAGGGACTCACCTGACAGGTACACTGGGTGTGTGAGAGAGGGACTCACCTGACAGGTACACTGGGTGTGAGAGAGAGGGACTCACCTGACAGGTACACTGGGTGTGTGAGAGAGGGACTCACCTGACAGGTACACTGGGTGTGTGAGAGAGGGACTCACCTGACAGGTACACTGGGTGTGTGAGAGAGGGACTCACCTGACAGGTACACTGGGTGTGTGAGAGAGGGACTCACCTGACAGGTACACTGGGTGCGACAGTCCAGAGTGAAGGACTCTCCATCGTCGTAGGTGCGGTTGTTGACGGTACAGCGGACAGGGTGCACTTCTGAAGACCAACAAACATAAAATATGCATCACACCACACTTTTGCTTTACCATGTAAAATCTCTTTGTGTGTTATGTGTTCAATTAATGTGGTGTATGGCAGAGATTATATCATTCCAGATTCAGACCATGCCCATCCAGGCACAGACCATACCCCACCTGACACCAGATTCATCAAACACTCAATTATCATTAGCGTAACCTTTGCATCTTTCCTTAATCATGGCATCTTAGTTTGCATTTATGAAGCCGTTTAAGAGCTCTAAAGGGATCCAAGGTTGTCTATAACAATAATAACATTGGGTTGTGGACGACCTCGCAGCGTTTCCGAGCTCGTAAACTGTTTAATGAATGCAGACTAAGTCTCCATGACCCAAGAAATATGTGCATGGGCTCGTAAATGATTAATGAATGCTGAATCAGACTAGAACAACCTCTAGTGACCCCAGTCTGCCTCTGGGGGTCGTGATGCTCACACTAACACCCTCAACACAGTCGCTCTGGCAGACTGGTCGAGGGCGGTCGTGTGATCTTTGGGTTACTTTGTGTGATTTCTTGGGATTACTTTGAGAAGAGTCACGAGGGAGCTTGAAGTAATTGGTCTTAGTTCTAATATTGTAACGTTAGTAAGCCGCATATCGTTTAATCCTCGTGCTGTCAAAAGCAAACGTACACCCATTTAAGTGCTCCGATATATTGTTTCAAGTGTAGGGTAGACATGTGTACCCAGAAGCTTGGGGAGGGTTTATACAGGAGCTATCAGTAGGCTTTTTCCAGTTTCCATTATTACTAGAATTTTCTTATGTGGATACGAGTATAGAACGTAACTCATAACACGCTACAGGTCTCCTCTTCATCACAGGATCTATTACACACGAATTTATTGTTTCATAAAACAGGACTTGATACATGAGTGTGCTATGAGGCTGTAACTCATAGCACCCTCCATGCATCACCGGGAGGTGCGGCGTTGGGTTCACATTAACACAAGAGGGCCAACATCGATCCAGTTTAGCTAGAGGGACGTGGCATTCCTGTGTCACATATCACAGGAATAACAACATTGGTCTTTCAATAACAGCTGCGCTGGGAGTATCAGGACACAAGAGAATCTTGTGTACTAGCAAGAGCATTGCTAGTAATATCAGTATCACAATCAGCATCTGAAAGCAAAGGAACATCTGTAAATATTGAATAAAACTTAGCCAATTGCACCACTTCAGGAGCCAACTCCAGCAATGATGAAACTCTGCAAGATCGGACGACGTATAGATGTCGTAGTGATGATGGCGATTTCTGAAACAAATCTGGAGGCTTCTTGTCGTGAAATGATCCAAGTCGGGGAACTTGAGTCCGTAATGTCGCAGGAAGTCAGCCATGGGTGTCTAACACCTTAATTACATAGTCAAAAAAGCTGCATCCTTACTCTCACTTTGATCTTTAAAATGAATTCCGATCGTCTTTAACGATCTTTGACCTATCGGCTGTGAGATAATGGCCTAACTTTGGCTCCCCGGGGGGCTAATGACTCAGCTGGGCCTCTCTCATCTTTATCAGGCTGGATTTTGCTGCACGAATAAAATGAGAACAAAAAGTTTTGGTGGATATATTAGGATTGAGAAACTTGTCACTGAGATTTGTTTTAAATTTCCGTGAGTTTTTTCTCATCACTGAATTAAAAAGGCATCGTTGGCAAGAGTGCTTTTGGTATAATAGTTGCCATTAAATTATGCCTTGGTAAAGTTTTCCAGAGCTTATGAATGTGACTAAACTCTGTGGGTGTTGAACAAATCCACAAGAGCCATGACGAGGGTTCGAACCTAAGTCCGAGAGGATCCCAGACGCTACCATAATCTCTTTATTATATTATCAATATCAATATATAATAATGACATTGTAATTCAACCAAAAGTCTACTCCAAAAACCATTACTGCTTCTACTATGACCGTTACTATCACTCATAATAATAATACTTTAATTATTGTTGCTATTCCTATAATTGCTACACCTATTTCTACATAATAAAATATATTGTACAATAACAATAGTAATTAAGAAAATTAAACAGTTTAATCAAGGTATACGACACTTTAACATTTAAATGTAAGCTTTCAATTTGATCATCAACTCTCAATTTCGAAACACGAATATTTTTAATTCTATTTAGAGAAACGCAAAATAAACCAATACGACTCTTTCTGATGTCAGCAAAAACTTGTCATGTGAAGTGCACGGTGCTAAAGACAGTTACATAGAGAGAGAGGTTTAATAAAGAAAGACAGATAAAAGAACAAAGTAAATCAAAACAAAAGAGGAATATCATTTAGGGAAAAGACAGATTACATAGGATTTTTTTTAAAGCTGAAAGGAAGGTCGAGAGAGAGAAGGGAAAGTCGACGATCATCTTCAAATCCTTTGGGATAAGAGTGTAAAAACTTCGATATGAAGTTTACCTGGGAGAAGAGAGTGCTCCACCTGCCCTGGTGGCAGATAGTGCTTCACTGTCTGGGGCTGACAGCTCCCCACCACCTGGAAGGCAGACAGTACTCCACCACCTGGGGGGGGGGGCAGACAGTACCCCACCACCTGGAGGCAGACAGTACTCCACCACCTGGAAGGCAGACAGTACTCCACCACCTGGAAGGCAGACAGTACTCCACCACCTGGGGGGCAGATAGTACTCCACCACCTGTCAACTCACAATAAACAAAAGGCTACAAAGAAAAAGTTACATCCTCACCAGTTGAAAATGTGAAAATGAAGAGAAAGAGTGCAGATATTGTTTTGATGTGCTGACGTCACATTGCAAGTGCAATAGCTAGTAGAGTGTTTGTTGTGCGAGATCATGATGAATAGAAGTGTTGAGGGACTGTTGCATATCCTGGAGACTCAAGACGAAGATGGTGTAGCCCTGGAAACACAAACCGAAACTGTCTCCATTCTCCGCTTGTTACAACTTTTAATAAAGTTGTTACATCTTGACTTAACGTGTTTATGATGTATTAGAACGTTGTTACAACTTGCTATATTGATTGTTATAACTGGTTAGGTGTTAAAACTTGTTCGAACGTTGTACCAACGTCGTAGTTTCGGTGTGTGTTTGGCGGGAGATCACTGACCGAATTGTTTGCCTGCAGTTGTAATACATAAGAAATATCATCACTGGATGCAGTTAATGAAGCTGTTAGTTATCTTAAATGGCTGCAGTTAATGATAATAACGAGAACATGTTTTCGACTCATAATTGAAAAATTCCGGGTTCGAGTCCCGGGCGGGACTGAAATGGTTGGACGCATTTACTATCACCTAATGTCCCTGTTCACTTAACAGTAAGTGGGTGGGTACCCAGGAGTTAGTCAGCTTTTTGTGGGGTTGTAACGGGGGGGGGGGGAGTCAGTAATTCGACCTTGGGGGGGGGGAGACCTCGATATAAGCCTAGCATATGTATATACACTCTGGCTGCATGTCCCCTGACACAATAAATTATTCTTAAATTAAATTATTATGTTTAGCATATTTCTTCAACAGATTACAAAAGTTTTTTCCCTAACGCAATTAAGACTGAATTTGTCAGTTCCCTGAATGTTGTTGAGGAGAAGAACACAACAAGGTTCACCTTGGAATAAACCTGTAAGGTTGTTCTTGACAATAACACATTAGAACTCATCTTGTCAGGAACCTGTAAGATGCCATTGAACCAGAACACATCAAGGTTCACACTCACACCCGCCTATAAAACGATACTTGAAAAGAAAACCCTTCTGACTAACCCTGGCAGGTCCCTGTAAGGTCCTGGGTGCTGTTGTAGATGCAGCTGAGATTCCTGGAGACATCGCAGACGGTGGCACCGTCGCAAGGTTCTTCCGCCTGTCTAGCACACTGCCAGCAGCAGTCACAGCCGTCCCGCACCAGTGGCACTCCCGGGCCACACTCCGGCACTGTGCCACACCCGCAAGGGTACACACAGTGGGCACGGATCTGCAAGAGCACAAGAAGGGATTGAGTGCCCCACATGGGTTCATGCACTGTCAACGGACGTGAAGATTCGGGAGGAAAAAATTCGTGATTGAAAAACATCCACTTGGGCAATGGGATGGCCGCGAACCTACGACCTTGGTATGTATATGTACCTGGCAATGATAAAGTCGAAGGTTCGAGCCCACCTCATTGCCCAAGAGGATTTTCTCATATGTAATAATAATAAAAATAATTTTTGTTACAAATATATACAAAAGAATATTATTCAGTGGTTTCATAATTGTTACAGATTATGCATATTTAATAAGGCCCCTGATACGCAAACGTTTCGGGCCAAAAAATATAAACAAAATATATACAACTAAAAAAATATAGTTTCATGTCCGCAATAAAAATTGAAATATAAAAAAGTTAAAAATATTAAAATAGGGACGATAAAGACCAGCATACCAAGAATTTGGAAATGGGACAATAAGCAATTACCGGAATTAGGGGCAATGGGAGACATAAGTTAGGGTTAATACTCCACAGGGAAGGATTAATTATGTTGTAAAGAAATGTTCAGAACTTCAAGACAAATCCATACCAACTCTGCGGGGCAAGAAAGTAGAGTACAACATCCGTTCAGAGTTATGACTATATAACCTCGTCCTCTCGAGTTGTCACAACGTCTCGATAATGACGTACTAAATTACCCGAACCTAACCTAACCGAAGACCCACGAATAGAAAACGTGACAGCCTGACAATTTGGCAACCCGCTATGGTTTATAGTACATTATATTTTGAACGTTGGGGGATTTATAGGACAAAATGCAATGTTTTATTCGAAAGGACGGGTGTAGCATTGTATATCCCAAACACCTGATCTGCATTCACCCTATCCCCTTGCCCCATCACCCTAATACCCCACTGTATCCTTTTGAATTTCCAGCACAATAGTTCTCATCCTATCCCTCTTTCATCTTCATCCTAGTACTCCCTCTAACCCCTTGCGTCTTCACCTCAGTATACTCACACTATCCCCTGACATCTCCGCCACCTCAGTATACTCACACTATCCCCTGACATCTCCGCCACCTCAGTATACTCTCTTGCATCTCCTCCACCTGTCCTGTAGTCCCCTTTACTGCTCAAGACGAACATGAAGACGTTTTGGTGACAATAGCTAAATTAACCCGTGCTGGACTAGGGTAATCTAGTTATACACAAACAAGACGCAAGGCAGGAAGGGGCCTTTGGGCCATTATGGCGACACCTTTGGTCGCGTGAAGGTACACACGCCGCCTTGAACCCCTGTTTTGTTTTTCCTTTCTGCAATAGGTAGGGGGAAGCTTATCAAGTAGTCGATATGTCTCATTAATGATGATTCTTCCCCTCCCTCTTTCCCCACCCTGACCCGCACTTTATCGATCCTGTACCCACCTTCCCTCCTCACTCTACCTCTTCCCTACCATTTCCTTAATCTTTCCCTCTCCGTTCTTCCTACCCCCCCCTCCGTTCTTCACCCTCTGGCCTCCAGCTTCGAATAAATGCGCATTTCCATTTAATACAGACCTTGAAGATTTCTTCACTTTGAAGTGAATAACTCTAGGGGCTCGTCCAGCCACATTTCACTAATTTTTAGAGGTGATTACGCAATGCCTCTAGTAATATGTCACGCTAATGTGTTTTCTGTTCCGTCTCTTCTCCAGCTTAGTGAGAAGAGGCTTCACTCAGTCTTCCTTCCTAAATCGGTCCTCCTCTATGCTCAGGGACTTGTCATGTAGCTAACCCCAATATTTACTTTGTTTTCTTCTATATATTTTCAGCTTGGGATTGTACACTTGGACTGTATTGCAGTATTTCAAACTACATCAAAATCAAAAGTTATTCATAAAGAACTACACATTTATAATTTCGGAAAGTTTGCCATAACAGTTACAGAACATTAATTACATATAAGACAATCACAATAAAGTATAATGCTCTGAACTTTTCCTTGTCCAAGTTCATGATGGCTAAGAGATTGTGTGATGAAAATATGGACGAATCACACACAAGATGATTCGACAAAGTTCATTTTATGTTTAAGAAACTTTGAGCTTTAATTGAGGTTCTTTGTACGGCTGAGGATCTTTTCTGGAGTTAATACTGTATATAAGGTCAGGTCAGGTCCAAATTCTAGTTTCCAAATTAAAATGTTCTCTTTTAAGGCAAGGGATGACTCGGTCATCTCGAGTCATCTCAGCCATACTGATTTCTTTTGTTTTGAAATGAAAATACATACAAAATTTTTTTGTTAGTGCTTGACGCAAAACATCGAACACAACTACTGTGTAATATGATAACGGAACACCCAGAAACAACAAAACTAATGTAAAAACTCGTTTCACTCCTAAAATATACTTACAGAGCGGACGACTCTTACAGACGTAACCTTAATTAATTAGGTGCATTAACACAACGAGCGATGTGAGCTTGTTGTTGTCGTCGAGGTAATCCCATTTATGTTAGGTCTAATTTGAGACGACCTCTCCCTCATCAAAACAAAGAAGCCTTTCCCTTTTCTGGTCTTTTATATTTGTCAGAGCTGAAAATCTTATCACAACAACATGTCATTGATTGCCTCTTAAATCATCCCCCCCCCCTCACACTTCCCATCTTCTATCCCCGCACCCCTTTGGGAACTATTGGGGTAGGTTAGGTTAGGATATATAAGGTTCTATTATGTTAGGTTGGCTTCATTAATGTTAAGGTTATGTTGGTTTGATTTGCGTTAGGCTTGATTTTTGTTAGGTTTAAGTTTGGTTGGGTAAGGTTTGGCGGATGTTAAAATTCGATGGACGAACTGTCTTGATGGTGATGGGGCTTGCATCTGAGAGAGGGAATGGTTCGCGCTACTGTTGTGGTTGGCTCTAGGGAAATCCAGCAGCTAAGAATACGGGTTTATTGTTTATAGTTTCCTCTCACTTTCCTCAAGGCGCTTTCACAGGCAAGACTCAACATTTTCTCTACTTTTTTGGGGTGTCAATCAGAGTTATCTCTAGTTTACTTTCCTCAACTCTTCCCCACCTCTCCCCCCCCTCTCTTACACCCAGCCCCCCTCTCCTACACCCAGCCCCCCTCTCCTACACCCAGCCCCCCTCTCCTACACCCTGCCCCCCTCTCTTACACCCAGCCTCCCCTCTCCTACACTCAGCCCCCCTCTCCTACCCCCAGCCCCCCTCTCCTGCACCCAGCCCCCTTCTCCTACACCCAGCTCCCCTCTCAACACCCAGCTCCCTCTCCTACACCCAGCTCCCTCTCCTACACCCAGCTCCCCTCTCCTACACACAGCCCCCTCTCCTACACCCAACCTCCTCTCCTACACCCAGCCCCCTCTCCTACACCCAACCACCTCTCCTACACCCAGCCACATCTCCTACACTGAACCCCCTCTCCTACACCCAACCACCTCTCCTACACCCAGCCACATCTCCTACACTCAGCCCCCTCTTCTACACCCAGCTCCCTCTACTACACCCAGCCCCCTCTCCTACACCCAGCCACCTTTCCTTTCCCTGCATCATCCATCTGAGGCTAGTTCTATCCTGACAGACAGAGACAGACAGACAGGGACAGACAGACAGAGACAGACAGAGACAGACAGACAGAGACAGACAGACAGAGACAGACAGACAGACAGAGACAGACAGACAGAGACAGACAGACAGAGACAGACAGACAGAGACAGACAAACAGAGACAGACAGACACAGACAGACAGAGACAGACAGACAGAGACAGACAGACAGAGACAGACAGAGACAGACAGACAGAGACAGACAGAGACAGACAGAGACAGACAGACAGAGACAGACAGGAACACCGATATATAGCGGGATACACACACATACACCAAAACGCTACCAATTTACTCTTCAAGAGAAGCGAGTAACTCTCATCCTTCAACACAAAAAACTATCCCACAAAAAATTAATTAAGGAAAACAACAGCAGGAAAATAACTGAATAAAAGTTGCATAATAAACAGCCCTTCAGGTTAATGACAATATTGACTGGAACGTTAATTATGACCACCTCGCAGTCTTCCTGATGGACGAGGAGGTGGAAGAGCAGGAAGTGGAACAGGAAGAGGAACAGGAGGAAGTGGAGAAATAAGTGAGAGAGAGCCAGGAAGATGATGAGTAAACGGAAGAGGAGGAGGAGCAGGTGGAAGAGAATTATCAAATAGGAGGGGGGACAGAAGGAAAGTGAGAAGGGAAGCAGGAGAAGGAGGAGAAGGGATAGAAACATTATTAGATAGACTTGAATATCTCAGCCATGCAGCAGCTTGAGGTAATAGAGAGAGAGAGAGAGAGAGAGAGAGAGAGAGAGAGAGAGAGAGAGAGAGAGAGAGAGAGAGAGAGAGAGACAGGGTGAACTGGGAAAAGGCACATCTTATAAGACGGATTCGAACCAATGTTCTGCGTATTCCCAAACAAACTCCTCAGACCACTACACCACCACATGGTCAAAAGCATAGTAACCTGGGATTCAACTGAATCCCAGGTTGCCAAACTTTTTTACCATGTCGTGGTGTAGTGGTCTAAGGTAATACCCAGCGCAGAGGTTCGAATCCTCCACAAGGCTCCTACTAATTTTGTTTACATTTGTACATCACGTTAATGTGATTTCTTTGTGCATTTGAAGTGACGTGAGAGGCGAGGCAGTGGCAGCCCTGGTGTCACTGATAATGGACGTTGTTATGGTGGATGCTGAAGAAGATAACATGAACGGTTATGTATATACCGTTTATCGAATTTCCCAGCCGGCCTCACGGAGCTCATCTCTCTGGACCAACACAAGAGGCAGCAATCTGTTTAACACCCGGCACAATATAACAGGATTCCGAGTAGCAGGTCTTGTCATGGCTAAACTGAGGCCTTAGACCGTCGGAACAGTGAATATGTGAGCCTGATAAAGAGGCCGGCAGAGAAAGCCTGATACACTCAACAGACTGCGATTGTAGACATTCCAGT